GTTAGTCTTAAAGGTGCCACAGGACCCTCTGTTGCTTTTTACAGATTCAGACTAACACGGCTACCCCTCTGATAATATAAGGAAAGGTTTTTAAAATAGGATTTTTAGCCCTTACACTGTCTCTTTAAGACATCCTTCCCCCTCAGTGGGCTGGGACAGATCTGGCCAAGTGAGTATACAAGACCTTTCATCAGACAGGGAGGGAGGATTCTTTCACTCTTATTTCTAGCTCTCTCACACACTTCTCTGGTTGGCTGATATTTTTAACCCAGCCAGAAGACAGACTGATGACAGGAGCAGGTGATGATGGGTAAAGGTGGAAAAGGGAACCCTGTATAAAGGTCAATGCTACGGCTTTGCATCCACAGAGCCTGGACTTCCCACAGCCGAACCCAAATCTAAGACAAAGCGTCACATGCATGAAAACAAAGAGCTAAAAACAGGGACTAAAATCAGCAGCAGGCTCCAAAGAGGGTGAGAGAATCAATTCCATGTGTGTGGGAATGACTTCAAAACACAGCATCTGCAACATGAATTAGCAGAAGGGAAACACACAAACTGACAGTGTTCAGTTGCATACAGGGCTTGAGTAAGGGGAAGAAACACACTGGAGACAGACAGCAGCTGTGGATTTGACTTGTGCAACTGATGACAGACTCGTGGGAAGCCCTCTGCAAATGCACAGAGTCTGAATGAATCTGCAGACACACACAGCATTAGCTGAGTAACCTAATTCATGCAGTCGTCTGACTCTTCCCCCAAGCCTGCAGAATCTAAAGTCAAATTTAGGGTCTCCTAAAGTATCTTAGGTACTTTGTATGGCTCCTGTCACCCTAGTATCGGAGTGCCTCACAATCTGTATTTATCCTCCTACTCCTCCCCCCCCGCCAGGGAAGTGCAATTATCCCCATTTCACAGGTGGGGAACTGAGACACAGAGACTTAAGTAATTTGCCCAAGGTCACAAAGGAAGTTAGTGGCAGAGCAGGGAATTTAATCTAGGTCTTCTAAGTCCCAGCCTCCTCCTCTAACCACTGGATCATCTTTCCTCTTCCATCTTTCCCTTTTGAGGGAATCCTGCTGGGAGAAGCCCTCAGCCTCCCTATAGCCAGCACTCTTACCTTGTTCCCTACAATACTTCCTGCTGGGAGAGGCTGCAACTGAAGTAGCTGTGAGCCTCCCCATGGGTAGCAGTCATGTAGGCTGGGTGAGACTTGCTAGTACTCACCTCCTCCCACCAATCCAACCCAACTCCCCAGCAGTCCAACTAATCACATCTGAAACTTTGGGGAAGAAAAACCAAAATGGCCTTTACCTGAGCTGGCCTTGCTGATCCAGAAAATCCTGTTTAGGTAAAACCACACCGGGGCTGGAGTGAACCACAACCGGCAGGCGGTATTCAAGGTAAGCCGTCTTCAGCCACCAGTCGGAGAGCTGGGACAGAAACAGGAAGCATGCGAGAATGGGGGCTCTGGATTGCAAAGAGCAGGATGCCCACTTGGCAAGCATGAGTGGTCCATACCCCACAAAACGGCTGGAAGACCATCCTGCAACACCCCATATCCCACAATCCTTTGCAAGTGGAGAAGATTGTGAGATTTGGGTCATGGGATGGTTTTTCAGGCATTTTACAGACTAGGTAGAGCAGGGGGCTTGTGGGATTGGGTAGGCTGGGGTTGGTGCTCCGGGGATCGGAGCAGTGGACTTTCCCAACCTTCTGGGGGCAACTATCATTTTAAAGGACTAAGACTTTAGCTGTAGCAGCCAGTGACTTCCCATTCAGCTGCACGTGCCTCAGCTCAGCATAGGGCTTGGACAGCGCTGTACACACAGCGGAGAGAGAGACGGGCAGCAATGCGTGGCGCACTAGGTCTCAGCACAGACGTGTGTGGGGGAGCCTAGATTACCAGTCAGAAAAGCACAGGTGCCAGTGGCTGGGAACCACTGGCTTGGAAACCAGGACAGTGATGGCCTTTACAGGACTTGGCTCAGATCCTGCCTCCATCCTCTCCTCCACTGACCAGGACTCATGGAAGTAGCACCCACATACCCAGTTCTCAGTTTTCCTGGCTCTCCTCTCCAGACCCTTCTGCAGCCTTTCCCCAACGCCGCCTGGTTTCCGGAACTCATCCACCAGCCCCTTGGTGTGGGTCCATTCCTCCTCGCTGATGATGGGCTGCAGAGCCAACAGGTAGCGATCCAGGGTCTGCTGAAGGGGCGGCACCGGCAGATGCGGCAGTCCCTCCTGGTGGGCTAAGTATCTGCCTGGGAGCTTCCCCAAGGCCACCGGCTTCAGCCAGCCAGATGGCTTTGCCTGCAAACCACAGAGCACACATCCAGACAATCTTCCTTGCAGCGCAAGAGGAATCAGCAGCTCAGATACATTGAGTTCCCTGTCCCTGACAACACATGGAAGCCTCAACATCAGGAGCAGAGCGCTCAAAGCCCAAACACCAGACATTTATCGACTGGTTACCAAAGTGAGAGGATCATGAAACATCCAGAACAGCAGCAGAGATACGGCCTCCCACAGGGATGTCGATTCTCAGCCGGCTAAAGGAATTGCCACTGGGATAACAACACATTTGCCCTTCTCTAGTATCTTCCCTCTGAAGATCTCCTAGCACTTTACAAACATTAATGGGACTATGTCTCAGACTATCCCCTACAACTATACAGTAGGTAAGGAATGTACACAGGGACTGTTTCACCCACTAATGAAATGCAGCCATCTCTGAGGTAGGACATAGCTGCGAGCAATGCTACACAACAGTTTAGGATAGGAAGTGAAGAGGAATCCTGTAGCCAACTGAAACTGCTGGAGGAATTTAGCCAAGTTGGAACTGGATCAGGGTTACCAACCCCCACCCAGGAAATGAAAGTGCAAAATCATTAAAAAATCATAACTGGAAGCCCAACTGTGGAGCTGGACATTCTGGTGACAAAAGGAGCTTGGCTATGGGATCACCAAGCCTCTCGGGTCATCAGCAACCCCAGTTGCTCACGTCAGAAGAGGTAGGTCCAAAAATGATTCCCATCCAGCCCTGCTCAGCGGGAGACTGGAAGGTGCAAAGTGGAGGGAGGGAGAGGGGGAGGAGGGGGGGAAATACAGGGAGAAGTTTTTCAAGAAGGGGGAAATTGTGGGTGACTCAGAGAGGCTCATGGGGGACAGGCTAGGATAGTTTTGGCAATAAAAGCTTCCATGGGGAATATGTGCTGTGACAGTTTCTTTGGGCAGAAAAAAAGAACATGAAGAGAGCAAAGAGCAATACCAGACTTTGAACAGGAGAAGTGCACTCGCCATCCCTTCCTCAAAACTTTGATAACATCTTCCTGTTGGGGCAGGAATTTAACAGGGTTCTGTTAACGAGGATTTAAATCCTGTTTTCCGTGCCCTCTTCCCCCACTTTCCCTCCTGTTTCATTCCCTCCCAGTGGTTTAAAATTCCTTGCTAGGGACTTCTGACTATGGATTGGAGGGAAACAATACCGGCTAGAACATGCCCTTTGGACTAAGAAGCAATTGAGGGAGGGTTTTCATAGAATCATAGAATACCAGGGTTGGAAGGGACCTCAGGAGGTCATCTAGTCCAACCCCCTGCTCAAAGCAGACCCAATCCCCAGTCAGATTTTTGCCCCAGATCCCAAAATGGCCCCCTCAAGGATTGAACTCACAACTCTGGGTTTAGCAGGCCAATGCTCAAACCACTGAGCTATCCCTACCCCCGGGTCAAGTGCAGAGAAGCACAAAGGGTCCAATTCTGCAAGGTGCCAATCACCTCCTGCATGGTGCTCACTCCCTCAAAGAAAGTGCTTGGCTCCTTGCAGGATCTGGCAGCCCGGAGAGATCAAGATCTCTGGGAAGGTTCAAAGAAAAAACTAATCCCTGAAGCCGGAAGAAAGAGTGCAGGGTTGAAGAGGAAGGAAGGGGTTAACCTGCAGAGTCGAATGATAATGTACCATACTTTACCTTCTCTGACTGCTGCTGCTTCCTCTCCATGGGTGGAATGAGGAAAACTCTGTACAACTCTCACTCCCTCTGCCTCAGACTTCCTCTCTAATCTTACCCTGTTCTATGGTATACACAGGGAGTCACACACTTAGCAACCTTTGTCATCTGACTGCACTATTCTGTTGAGAAAACAAAAGACCAGATATTGCAATGCGAGCAGTTGTGTGGGAGGGGCAGCAAACCACCTCCCATGTGCTGGCAAGACACTTTTCCAATATTTCCCTTGACCTCAGTGACAGCAGGCGCTTGAAATCGCTTCCGTACTCCACCCCCTGCAACTGGGTCGTTTTCCTGTTTATTTCAGGGCTGGGGTAGGGGGCCCAGCTGAGAGTTCTGGAGAGAGACGAGCCCTGGTCTATGCACAGGTCGTGTGGGTAGCAGGCAGCTGCGGGAGCTTCCTCCAACAAGCTGATCAGGAGGGAGCGTCTGTACTGATGAAAGGGGAATCCAATCTCCATGGTCTATTCAGGGCTTTTCCCTCTCTGCACACACTGCCAACGGGGGTGGCCACTGCAATGGCAGTGTTCCTGATGTGAACGGTTGTCCACCAGGAGCTAGATCAGGGGTGGGCAAATTTTTTGGCCTGAGGGCCACATCGGGGTATGGAAATTGTATGGCGAGCCATGAATGCTCACGAAATTGGGAGTAGGTGTGCAGGAGGGGGTGAGGGCTCTGGCTGGGGGTGCGGGCCCTGGGGTGGGGCCAGAAAATAGTAGTTCAGGGTGCGGGAGCGGGCTCCGGGTTTGGATGCGGGCTCAGGGGTGGGGCTGGGGATGAGGGGTTTGGGGTGCTGGAAGGGGCTCCAGGCTGGGACT